GCCTTACTGGGGTTAGTAGTGTATTTGATTTACTTGGTATCATGAAAAAAGGGCAGGAGTTAGCAGGTAAAACATTGTGAAAATCAAGACTGTGTGAAAACAAATTCTCTTATTTCTGAAAAAGTTACTTGCTGTCAAAAATGCTATTTTTTAATGAAAAAAATCTGTTAATATATAAAATAAATTTGCACTTAATGTCCCCTATCATTAAATTGAGAAAGACAAAAAAACATTTTGGGATTTAGACATCATTAAGCATCATTAAAAAGTAATTAGTCTGCTATAGTAGTTAATAAATATAAAGAACTTGAATGACCAAAAGCATAGGAAAAGAAGTTGATGGTCTCCTGTTTAGCAGTCCCAAACAACTGAAGTCAACACTATGAAATTATGTCAGCGGACATCATTCAGGACTGAAATTCAAACTGACAGCTACATTAAAGCTGGGATGCCAGGGGAAAAGCCTGCGCCGAGGCTTGGTGAGACATTTTTACAGAATATGGATCTGAAAAAAATGAAGCTAACTCACATTCTCATTGCATCACGAGAGCCTTTTGTTAATTATAAATATTGGTTGGCTATGTAAATTTCTACACATAAAAACACGTCTTTTGGGGTCTACAGTGTATTAACACAGTTTTCATAAAAAAAACCTAGTGTTTGGAATTACAGTTTCAAACTCTCAAGGCTTTTGCCAAATAATAGACAAAAAGTAAAAGTTGAAAAGCAACTTGCATATTTAAGAGAAGAATCTCAATTTTCAAAAAAAAGTGTTAAAGATCCAGTGGGAGAAATTGAATTTCCAAAATACATTTTCAAATGCACTAGACTATTTTGAAGCAGTTATAACTAGCATTTTTGAAGCAGTTTGCTTTTAATATGCTACAAATTACACTTTATTTGTTCTCGACAACATTATAGAAAACAAAGACTAGGTTTTTAAAAACTGTCTAACCAATATGATGAATGTCAGTCACTTAAAAAAAACCCACTGTAGCATAAACACATACTGTATACAGCTTTTATTCAGAATTAGAATAATTGAATCAATGACAGTGATTTGCTAGGATGTCAAATCTCTCCATCATATCCTGTCACTACCAGTTTATTTTTTGTGATCAAAATCAAAAAGACAACTATTTTGTCACCCGCTATTTCATTTAGTACTAAAAATCAGGTCTCTTCTATTTTTTTTAGAATGTCTGGTTTATTTTTTTCATTTCTTTTAATTCTAAAGACACAAATTCTTCTTCATTTTCTTTTCAAAATAAAGTTTCAGAATTGATCTGTCAGTTAAAATTAAAGGGCTTTTATGTTAAGGAAAGGTGCTTTAAAAATTTAAAGCAACTTCAAAAAATCGGTTTTGTCCATAGATAATAAATAATGTGCAGACAGTCCTCAAAAGCTCTGCTATGTCCTTTGAAAGCATTATGAACAATCTGAACAAATTCAAATGAATATTTTAGTCAGGTTATTATTTTAATAACTCTAACCTTTTCTTACCGTGTTGGGATTCATTTTCTACAAACACACAACAGAACAATTACATAGCATTTGACTCTGAAAAGGAAATGTGAGGTCATCAGATATGTAAATTGCTTGTCAAAATACTTAATAGGTCATTGATTTACTTCCCCAGCTACCATGTCCATAAAATTAACAGCCAATTACTAGTTAATATATGCTTTGCAAACAGATAAATACCAGAAAAGTTGAGTGGTCATATTTGAACCCTATTTTAAATATAAAAGAAACTTTTCAAACTCAGTAAAAGTGCATTTTGAATAGTAAGAGTACCTGAGCTTTCCAAAAAATTCTGATTCACTGGGCAGGCTTTGTAAGAATCAGCCATTGGAGAGGGCATGTATATGTTAGTTTCCCTTGGATAAAAACCCACTCTAAAAATGCATTTTCCTTCCTTTTGGAAATATTATGTTACCCATTATACAAATAATTACTGCATACAAATTACTGATCTTTAATAATCCCACTGACACATTAACAGATCTTCTTTCAGTTATCAGCTTGCCTTAAAGATAAGAAAAGGGACAGTGCCAAGCTCCTATCTTGTAACTGTTTCTAGTGTATGAACTCCCAAATCTTTTGTGCCAATCAGTTCTTACACTAGATTTGCCTTTCTTTAACAGGAGGTAAATATTTTGACTACTGCAATCTGCCTAGGTGCTAGGGTTTTGAGATCTTTTGGATTTCTTTTTGGTAGCCACCAGACAGGATCCAGTTTTCTCCCCCTCTCTCCCACTTATCTGCATCTCTGGGATCTTCAAATACTAACACCAGGCAAAATAAAAGGATTTCAAAAGGAAGCAACATTCTGCAATCCATTCCCTTATCTTCCAATTAGAACAAATCAGACACATATACGCATGTGAGACAAGCAGTGGGGGGAGCCCTTATTCATTTGTTCAAGCCCATTGGTAATGTCATTTTCTAAAACGTCATGTTACTGCTTTCCAAAGATAGCCACCATCAACTGCATGGAAATTAACAACAGCAACACTAAATACTTCCACTTTGAACTTTAAAACTGAGCAGTTTAGCCATTGAAGACCAAGGCCAAAAAGAAAAACAAAAATACAGCTGAAGCTTATTCTTGAAAAATAGAAAAGAGAAGAATATGTTTTTGGCCTTGGCAAGCCAAACATACAGAGAAGAAACACCTTTAAAAAAAAAAAATGTTGTTGACATAAAGGCCCAGAGCAAAAGAATAAAGACACCGTCCTAAAATGGCAAGCATCCACCGAGAAAGCAGAGCCTTAAAAAAATTCTGTAGCGTGAATCTTTGGAAACTTCATGATGATAAAAGAAAAAATAGGAAGAAATGGTTCTGTGTACCATATCAAGAAGCCAATTGTTTACCATTGAAGAGTTAAGAGGCTTAGCTTGGGGGATAAAAATGTTCTTGGAAATTCATTGCAGTAAATCACATTTTTTTTTAACTTAGAGTATCCTGAAGTTACTCAGATGTTGAGCGCTGATTCTGTGTACCTGGTTTCCCTTGAGAGACGTGGTATGCTGTTGGTCCTGTGACTCTAGTGAGGCTATCGCAAGTGGTCTCCATGCTGCAAAAAATGCCATCCAAACATCCCTGTGTACATTTCCCACTGATAAAGACAGAAATACCCTAAATTCCCTGACCAGTAAGGGAATAAGCAAGAGACAAATTCTTTCAGCAGTGAGGGAAAGGCCAACGCACCGTGCCTGCCAGGCGTGGTGGAGAGGATGCCCAGCGCTCCGGACAGAAGGGGAGCTCCCCTCCCCGGGGAGTGGGCAGAAGGCAGTGCTGCTGGACCAGAGGGCTTCTGCCGTGAGCAGCCACCTACTTCTGACGAAACCAGCCCGTGCCACCATGCCCGGCACCCTGATGCTCAGACACGTAGACGGGCCCCAGTGATCCCACACACACCCTCACCCTGCCCACGCCCACTTCCCAGCTCTCGAACCCAGTATGCCACACCCAATTCTCCAAAATCTGTGCTTCCACGAAACAGCCCCCACCGGCTGGCTGCCTGACCCCAGCCCAAATCCTACGTGGTTGGATCCTGTCCTCACAGTGTAGAAGCCAGCCAGCAGCGGCAGTACCCCCTCCCTCACGGCCCTTTCCTGACAGTTCTCTCAACACACGTCCCTGAGGGAAACGTGGGCTGCAAAGTGCCAGGAGGCAGGAATGGCTGCATGGGCAGCTGTCCCAACAGTGCACCAGTGTGTGCACTCCACCACGGAAGGGTGCCGGGGTGCAGTGCAGGCTGACGCTGAAGAAAACCACGTGCACGCAGACCCAAACTGCAGTCCACACAGAAAGGTGTTTCTCAATGTGCAGCAACTGCTGGCATAAAAGTGTTGGTGCAGAGCACGGCAGAGTGATGAATCTCAATTATCTGTTCCCAAGTGGGAAACAGGAGAGGTTGAACTAGAAGGTCATGGTTAAGTCCTCCAGCTAATTTCTGTATTTCGGATCATCTGCCTTCAGGGATTTAAACAAACAAATGAAAAAAGCCAAGTGTGAGTCAGTGGAAGTGTGTCCTTCCCCCTAGAGGTTTCTGCATGTTAATCCAGACCCCAGAAATCCCAGGCTTTAAACGGAAGTTTGCAGAAGAGAACTTCGCAATATCAACTTATAGGTTGCACAGAGCAGACAGAAATAAAGATCTCCATCAGGCTTTTTTTTTATCCAACAAAGGCTTATTTTTTTCTCATCCTTTGCTTGGGCTCAAGCACCCCTGCCCTGCGTGCCGCCACTTTAAACATGATCAGATCTGTGCTCCATTGCAAATAACAACTGACCGACAATGGGCCCTGCTTCATAGATTTGGGAATGTTTGGCTTAAGCTGCCAATGACTGAAGGCCTTTAACTCCCAGCGGCCAGTCACAGCCCGCTTTGTTGTTGTCTGTTGATGTGTCTGTGCTCATTATTCCTTGACATGCAACATCCCCCCCCTCCACCCTCCACCCATCCACAACCGCACAGAAAGCAAGATTCAAATGGGAACAGCTGTAGTGGTTCAATGGGAAATGATGCCTCTTGTGCAAAGGGGAGGGAGACAGAAAAGGGAGAGCGCCTGTTTGAGAAAGGCAACAGCTTTCAGAGAGTCTTATTTAAGAAATCTACTTTTGAATATACTTCAGTGAAATCATTGTTGAAATGGGCTGACAATGGAAATCTGCCCAGATTGAAAACGCCAGCCCTAATTCAAAAAACAATTCCTAGTTAATGGCTTGTTGCATTTTTAAATTATTTCTAGACTTTGAGCTTTCAAATTAAATGGCTAGCTAGGCAGTGTTACCAGTTTGTATATGTGTTGTGAGTATAAATGGGCACAGATCTACACAAAGCTTTAAGTGGAATTGTTTTCCTATTTATGGTATCTGTAAGAATCATTTCTTTAGGGATCTTCAAGATATAAAATTGAGTATATATGAAAATAATCACTGGTTTAAAATATTAATCTAACATGGAAACAAAACTTGTAACACCACACTATGAGGTTAAAAAGAAAATAGTATAATAAAGGAAATACAAAGGCTTTGGCATGGTTTTTACAATCAACAATGGTTAATTCTGATATGTAGTTGTGAACAACTTCAAAACACTTAAGTTTAAAACTCTTGCAAGCACTTTTAATTGATTAGGAATGAATTCTAGATGCACAAAATGATTGGACTGTGAACAGTAATACATCTATATCTAAGAACAATTAACTTTTGCTGGCCAAAAAGAAACGTATGATTGCATGAAAATGTGTATAAAACATCTATAGAGTATTCTTGTCAAATATAAATGAAATTAACTTTATTATAGAAATCATTCTGAGGATTTCTAGGGAAGACAAATACTTACATTTTGACATAAAACAGATTGGATTATATCGAAGACACACTCTACCGTTTAGCTATCAACTTTTTTCTTCCTTGAATTTATATCTTACCCTTTTTTGCACATAAAGTTCATCTGTTAACAACCTTTGGAAAACCAACAGATATTTCTTACATAAATCTAGTGCATGTTGTTCCAGGTTTAATTATATGCAAAGGAATGATACAAACTTGGAACATCAGTCCATAAACTATGAACAGATGGGTAGAAGTATTCGATATATCTTGATAAAACTTAAATTCGTGGAAAAAAAAAATTTGTTGATCATGGTTTCCTTTTTTTTTTTTTTAAACAACTTCATGACCAACACAGATCAAACATCCATCCAGGCTACATTGTTCTTTTTTTTTTTCTTTTCATTATTAACATACAAATGCCCATTTACAAATAATACACCAAAATGAATAAAAGTTTGGATACCAAAATGAAGATTTGTTCCAACTGATATCGTGCCTTGTGTATGCAAAGGTCCTTGTTTCAAGTCCATTTCCCCAGGGGTATGACACAGGACCCGGATGCAGAACCCAAGTGCTTCTAACAGCCATTTTCCTTTCCTGAACTCCCAACTGTCGTGTCCACATAGTCACTGACTGCGTTATCACAATATTTCCTTTTTTTTTTTTTTTACTGTAATCTTGGCCAATATTGAGACATATCAGGTTCACTTCCGGGAACTTGAACTGGAACTGACACACCAGGAGAAATGAGTCCTAGAAATGGATGAAAGAAATAGCCATGTAGATATTCCCTTTGAGAGACAGGTATGGATATGAATTTATCAGTTAAAAAAAAGAAGAATCTGTCAAATGTCCCAACAATTTTTTCACTAAATTAAAAATATGTCAAAAAAAAAAAAAGCACCTGCAAAACTGGACATCTGTTTACATGAGCATACTTCAAAAAGTTCAGGAAAAATGTGTCCTACCAAAAGTGCATAGATTTCAAGATTTCTTTGCACCAAAATAAACTTACCTTTTCATTCCATTTTTCTAAAAAAATTTCAAGTACCTTCAGATGGACCTATTGAATTCCAAGTCTCTCCTCCAGAAAGAACTGAGGAGTAAAGAGGCCAAGAAGTTTCAACCCAGCTGCTGGCTGGGTTCTCGTGTTAAACTCTGGCCAATCATCTGTCCTCAGAAAGCCTAGTCTCAGGCTCTGTCAAGAAAAACATCATTTTGGCCTATAAAGCATCAACCTACAGCTAGCTTAACTGGATTCACCTTTGCCATTTTCCCTGGAGACAAGGGCAGCAAAGTGTTCAACAAACCCTCACAGGGTTAAGAGGTTATTTTTTTTTTTAAAGACAAACTTTGGTTAAAAGGAGATGACCTAGGCCGGCGCCGCGGCTCAATAGGCTAATCCTCCACCTAGCGGCGCTGGCACCCCGGGTTCTAGTCCCGGTCGGGGCACCGGATTCTGTCCCGCTTGCCCCTCTTCCAGGCCAGCTCTCTGCTGTGGCCCAGGAAGGCAGTGGAGGATGGCCCAAGTGCTTGGGCCCTGCACCCCATGGGAGACAGGAGAAGCACCTGGCTCCTGCCATCGGATCAGCGGGGTGCGCTGGCCACAGCGCGCCGGCCTCGGTGGCCATTGGAGGGTGAACCAACGGCAAAAGGAAGACCTTTCTCTCTGTCTCTCTCTCTCACTGTCCACTCTGCCTGTCAAAAAAAAAAAAAAAAAAAGGAGATGACCTGGCAAAAGCAGCTGTAGAAGCCCCCTGTGTGCGGGCTGCAGCGAGGAGTAGCTCACCTGTTGAAGTGGTGCCCGAGGTGCCCATTGGCTGACTGTTCATGTGTGTCTGCATATGTGGGGGAGTGTAGGTATCGTAACTCCGCCCATTCACTGACGGGCTGGTGGGCAGCATGCAGGAGTACGAGGAGGTCTGGCTGGGGACTGGGGGCTGCAAGGAGAAAGGCAAACTGTGGTCACTGAGAAACATAGCACACAGCCACATTCCCAGGCTTAAGGATCCCTTCATGTCAAGAGCTGGAACATTCCATACGAAAAATCTGAGACGAAGCCTCCAACTTGGCTACGCCTCAAGCTTCTAAAGCTCTGTAAATTCAGACAACTGGCCAGCTAGACGGTTGACAATAGATGTTTTTGGTCTATTTTCATCTTGCTGTGTGCTGGCATCTTCAGAAAACTGTAGCATAAGGACTTCCATCAACACATCACCTCTCCTTGCAAATCCATCTGTATTAGGGGAATTCTATGACCCCCAAACCCCTATCTCCAGCTTAGGGGCAGGGAGGCGCTCTCTGTGAAGTTTGGTGTCCCGCCTTGGGAACCTTTCATAGCTTGACTCGGGATTAAATATCCTGTGACAATGCAGATTCACAATGATCTCAGGTCCAGGTGGTCAGAACGGCAGTATGTATTATCTCACCCAGTCCCAAGAATTAGCTGGGACTTCCCAACAGGCCCAAAAGCTCCGATTGAGTTTCATCCATTGAATTGGGTTGCTACCCTCTAACTAACTACGCAAAGCTGGGACAAAACTTGTCTTGAGCTCCCATGGGTCTGTACTGGGGCAGCAAACTGGGGATCTTGATCCCAAGAACAAGGGAGAAGATGGTCCTGCTCTGCTTCGGAAACCGGAGAAATGCTTAACGTGCCCAGATCCACATTCTCAGAGATCGTGAGAGGAGAGTTCAGAGGACAACACCCGCCCTGTGCAAAATCATTGAAGTTTCTGTTTAACAGGATCAACAGATGGACGGACCCAATGCCCCGCCCACTCCAAAATGCATTGAGAAGTTTTCTTAAAAACTAAAGTCACTGCTTTTATTTTCTTTATGTTTTAGGAATGTATGTGCCTTTTAAATTATATCAGTTGTGCAGAGTTTTAAAGTCTGTATTTGAAATAAATCACCTCCACACACCAGTCTCTATGTGGAAACAACCCTAACAGAGGGGCCACATTTATTTGTTTGTAATTGCTATGTCATATACACATTCTGTCAGCTTCAGGGAAACCTGCATGTTGTTACAATATGTAAAACTGAACAAGACACGCTGGCCTTATTAAAGTCTGATGACGACTGCTAACATCAAGTTCAAAGAGGCAAACAGGCCTTGAGGGCCCTGTCAGAATTTCAGCTTGCATTTGTTTCTAATTCCTGCAATCACTTCCTCTAGGCAACCTGACTTCTGGAAAATTCCAAGGCAGCTATAGCAACACCAACTAATGGACTGCTAATCCCTTAATTTGCATCAATTGCACTATGGCCAATAATATCCAGATGCAATAAAAATAAACACGTGAATAATTTTCTGAAGATGCTTATCCAGTTGCCCCGTATTAGTCTGAAGACTGGGAAACATTCATCTTGCTGTTATTGGGACTTGAAATCCAGCAAAAGATGTTCAGTGGAGAATAAACAATCTGTGTAACCCCAGCACTGTTTCCAGCAGGGGCTCATGCTGGCCAATGTCACACCAGCCGGCATCTCTAATTGTTGCACAAACAGGAATCTTAGCACAGCCCACCACAAGATGGACTGTTTTCCCATCAAGATTCCATCTCGCAACAAAGGTCTCGTATACCGCATCGCATCTGCCTTACACAACTTACATTATACAGGGTGTACCTAGCACAAGACCTAGCAATGCAAGGGCTGATAAATTCTTGGGTCAGAATTCAGAGCAGGCTCGTGTACCCAGTGAAGAACATCAAGCTTTCAAGGCAACTGAGAATGCCACGAACTCGTCACATATTCACAGCAAAAACCTTCTACTCTCTTTTTAATTTAAAGACACAGAGAGAAAACTAGCCTTTTCATTGTACAAAGCGTATCTTACCAGTGAATATGAATCCCATTTCCAACCCTTTTTTATTCCTTACTACTTTCTTACTTGCACCCTCTGTAATGCCCAAAATGTATATATAAATTCTATATTCGTTAACATAAAGACATTCATATAAAGCCAAATTTTATAAATACTAACCTCTTACTACCTCCCAACATGCTGGCATTATTTCCATTTTCTGGTACAAGTTTCACTGGTACTCAAAACACGCCCCACTACTACCCAACATTATCAAGCTAACAATGTGATAAAAGGCAGATTGACTTAACAAGTCAAATTTTATTTGCTTTTAAAAACATCAATCAATCCATCCATCAGCTAAAAGAGATTAGGTTAGCTGTCTTGAACTTGACTGGTCAAGCCAATCACTGTGGGGAGGGAGGCTCCCAAGGGTGCAGCCCCTGACCCATTGCTCGTTTCTCCCCGCAGGCCCCCGTTAAGCAGGCCACTGGCAGCCTCACTTACTTGCATAGGCAGGTTATTTGCCATGGTGAAGCTGGGCATGGGCGGCAGAGCGCTGTACGTGTTTGTGAGGGCTGTGTCTGTTCGGCCCAACATGGAGCCAGATGTGAAGGAGGAAACTGCAGGGAGACAGAAACGACAGGCAGTCACGGTGGATGTCAGGGTCCGGAGCAAGCCCCGTTCAGACACATGGGTCAGCAGTACTAGCGTCAAGTCCCTCCAATTACCAGGCGTGGTGGGCTGCGGGATTGGTTGGTAGACACTGGTGCTGAAACTACTGCTGATAGGGATATGACTAGGTGTGTTGCTGGCCTGCCTTCTCTGATTCCTCAGTTTTTCTTCTCTTCTCCATTTGGCCCTTCGATTGGAAAACCATACCTGGAAATCAGATGGAACAGGTTAGCCCTGTGCCTGTCGTCAGCCCAACCCCACCCCAGCACGCCCATTGCTGCCCGCCTGTGTGCCACCACCATGGCAGCAGGGTATTTAGCAGGCTGAACCTGTTACTGTTTACTGTAAAGAGACAGTCCCCCTGCGGTGGAATGAATCACAAAGTGCACAACCAAAGGGCCCTCCCAGGGTACCTGTATTCTTGCTTCAGGTAGATCGATTTTGGCTGCTAGTCTTTCCCGAGCAAACACATCTGGATAATGGGTTCTCTCAAACTCTGAAAGAGTAAATCGATCTTTCTGTCATGCCAGAACTACCCAAAATGTGTGGACCGATCCCTGGGTCACACCGGTTCCCACCTCCAGACAACCCCTGCTCCAGTGTTTCAACTATTGGTGTCAATTGTCCTTGGGCGAACTGTCCCACCAGAACCATACGAAATGTTCCACACAAGTACACTCAACAACGCTCCTGCAGCCAGAGACAGCCGCATCATTTCTCCCTTATAAATCACACTCATGAATTACTGGTACATGAGAAGAAGAAAGAAAACACACTGAAAAGATGCCCAGAGAGAGGGGGGGCTGGAGGAGAAAAAAAAAAAAAAAACCTTTTCAGCCCTCTAAGCAAAGGGCCTGGCTAAATTTAGCTCTTTGTCCTGAAGATGTGGCATTTACTTTGATTTCCTGCTTCTCTACTTTGAAAAACTCCATCACCTTTCTCCAGGGCCTCAATCTGCTCTTGGGTAAAGGATGTTCTATTTCTTTGCAGCTTCCGCTTCAGCTGAAGTCGCATTTGAGCCTCATCTGAGTCTTCGCCATTGGAGCTAATGGAGTTGGTATTCTCTCCCCCTCCTTCCTGTGGCTGGCAGCCATCTGAAACAAGAACAGGATGGTAGGAGAGATCTGCAGTAACGTGGAGCCTCCAAGTTACACACTGGACTAGTCACAAACTCCAAGAGCAGTGTATTCAGACAGCCTCCCCAAACAGATCCAGGGTCACCATCAGCCTTCTTGTCACAGAGACAGCAGTTGACATTCCTTTCTGTTTTTCTCAAGATAAGGCTTTGCAATATACACACACACACACACACACACACACACAGCTGTTCAAATGACAACACCAGCACTGAAGTTCCCTGTGAAAATGATCTTTCCTAAGTAAACCCTGACTCCCCAGGTGCCTCCTCCAGTTCCCTTTCCCTACACAATGCACCTACCTATGGCTGTGTTGGGGAAATAGAAGAGTGATGCTCAAGATTTCAGCTGATCTATAATCAGTAATTCCTATCTAATCAATTAGATGTTGATAGGTTTGTAGAAAATGCTATTAAGAAACCAAACCAAGCTTGTAATCTTTTTAAAAAAATATTTATCTAGTTTTTATTTGAATTCTGCACAGTCAATTTCATTTTAAAGGTTGTGAATTTAGAAGTGCTCGCATTGTTCTGCAGTTTTATTCAACTATTGTATGAGTGCGCTTCGCCTTGACACCTATTACGAGCACAGCTGTAATTATATCATCACCAAGAACAGGCTATAATTGCTGAAAATGGAATTTTATATTTAGATAAAAGGACTGTCCATTCTTTGTAATGTGTTGCACCAGAGAAAAGTAAGATTTCTTTTAAATTTTTAACGTGTAATTTTAAAAAAAGAAATAGTTCACTAACTAGCTAACTGCGCTCCACGGCAGCTGAATCCTTGGCATATCGTTTAAGTGGTACATTTTTAATGAGGGTATTTCCACCACTTTTAATGTAATTTCTATCATTAAACAGGGGAAAGTTTTATTGTTTTCCCTCGCTGCTTGGAGGGCAAGCCATGCACATGGGCTAGCTGGCTGCTGCCCGGCACCTTGCTGCAAAGCCCCTGCTGAAGAAGCGCCCGGGCCCTGTTGGAGCCCCCAGGGTCACTACAGGCTGGGTCCTTGGGCTTGGGTGCTGGGGTCCCCCCCCCCACACCTCACCAAGGGGCTGCCCCCCTCCCAATCCCAGAAACATGGCCAGTTGCGGGGGAGGGGCCAGTCGGGTGCGCTTTGGTGGGAATCGACTTGGCCAGGAATATCATTTATAACCAGGAGACAATGGCGAGCGCCTTCAAAGAGTTCAGGGAATTGTGACAGGATCTAGTGGGATCTTTTCAGGAACTTTGAAATGTTTTAAAACCCCAACTTTCTCCCCCATTTAAACAGGCGGATTCATCGGCACTGGCCACCATATGGGCCCTTGGAGATCTATTGAGATGACCACCAACACTTGAATAGCGAGGGCCTGCTTTTCAGCGCCGCACAATGCCCCGCAAGTAAGGGAAACTATTAAACTCCTGGGGCAGGAGCGTTGGCAAACTTTCGTGGGCAGAATTTGGAGGCCACAATGAGCGCGGACAACAAAAGGATTCTCTTGAGGCGTGCAGCGGGCCACATTGTGTTACAAGGAGCCCAGTCAACAGACTTTTCAGTGAAGTGTGTTAACCCCTCTGCTCTGCTATCATTAATCACTGTCCGGAGAGCGGGCGCCTCGGCGCGGCTTAAGGCGCAGGGCTGGGGGGATGGAGGGCGGATGGGGGGCCGGGGCCGGGGGTGGGGGAGGCGGAGACCAGGGCTGGGGGTGGATGTGCGGGGGGGGGGGGGGGGTGGGGGGGGTGGAGAAGGAGAGGGAAGAGTCCAGGGCCGGTGGTGGGGGAGGGCGGGGGCCGAGTGGGGAGGAGGAGCGGGAGGATGGAGCGAGCCAAAAGGCTCCAAAGAACGGGAAGCCAGAAAGGTGTAAGAGGAAAGAGCGGAAAGGAGCGCCAAGAGGGTGGAAGGAGAAGAGGAGGGAAAGATGCAGAGGAAGACGAGGGCGAGGGGTGCTCCCCTGGGGTCGCCTCGGGCTGCCCCAGAGAGATGCGGTGGGGGCTGCAGAACCGAGGGAGCCACGCTGCACTCCCCGTGCGCGGCGCAAGTGTCTGAACTGATTTACCGTCCCGACTGTCCGGGTGACTTTGCCAAGCGTTTTGCCGGGCCGGGGGCAGTGAGAGCAGCTCCCCCCACCACCACCCGACCTCCACCGCCAGTTTTCGGGTGCACTGAGGGAGGAAGACTGGAAATCACCCTTTGGGGCCCCCCAGAAGGCCCATGGAGACTGACTTTGGAAATCACAGAGAAGTCTTTGGCTGTCCGAGGTCCAGAGTGTGTATGTGTGTGTGGGGGGGTGCTAAGCAGGACACACCCCATTTCCCCAGGGCAGCACTCACGCCCTGCCTCCCAGAAGGACACACCCCGTCCCTGCTCTGGCACCTTCTATCTCACCAATTGAACAAAGCCGCCCGGGTCTCCCTCTGGAGATCCCAGTAGGTAGCCTTCTTCGCTCTGCTGGGCTCCTCCGACAGCTTCCTCCTTTTCAAGCTTGGAGATGCCTCTTCTCTCCCTCCCCGCCTCTCCCCGCTCTTCCCCAACACACACACTCGCTCGCACGCACACACGCGATGGCCGCCCAGGGCCTGCGTGGACTCGACCATCAACTGACATTCACTGGGAGGAAAGTGAACCAAACTAGGAGAGCTCAATTTTAAACCTTAAAAAAGATAAAATAAAATAAACAAATGGAGCGGAATGAAAGGCCAACCAACCAGGGGAAGCTCCCGGCTGTAGGAATCCCGCCAGAACCCCACACCGCGAGCGCACACCTGAGAGTTGTGCCGTTTTTTTTGGTTTTGCTACTTTAAATGGAGTAATTCTTTGCAGCCAGGCGGTGACCGAGTGGTCACTCTTAGATTGGCGCGCCTTTCTCCCCCCCCCCCCATCCCCCTTAGTGGATTTGCCTTCTACTCTTAAAGCTTTTAACAAAATAAAACTACAGGTTGGATCTCAAATTCCGCCCCCCATGATAACCCTAAGTGGAAGACAATTAAGATATCTTCTTTAAAAGGCGCCCACTCGAGGCCGCGTAAGAAGGGCCTTCAATGGGCGCCGTCCACCTTCCAGGCTAATCCGCGGGCAGGCGAGTGAAAGCGCCTCCCATTATCCCAGCCCCAGGACCATCTGACGCTGGGGATAGGATTTGTTTCCTGGAAGAAGGAGAAGGGGGTGGGAGGGGGGGAAGACGCTGGGAAATAAAATCATTCCTTGGTTTCTTAGTGTCTTAATCAGTGAGGCGGAACACAAGCAAGAAAAGATAGCAACCCGGTGGCGGCACCTTTTCAGCTCCCGAGCGCGGATCAAAACATTGTAGCATCTGTTGAAAGAGAGACTGACTAAATCCTATAGAAGGCCTGGGTATTAGGGGGGTTGGGGGGGGGGATAAGAAAAAGTGCCTCCGTGATCCCTAAAACCACCAAATCGCTGGAGAATTGGAGCTGGATAGAGTTGTCTCTTGTTGTCAGCCTACGACGTCACTTTATCCACTGCCGCACGGCGTTGATCAGATGGACACCATATTTGTCTCCTTCTGAGACCTAACCTCGCCTTATGCTTTTGGAGTAATGGACCCTTTCAGACCCAGGAATCGTTTCCCGAGTCGGGGAAAGGGGCCAGGGAGGGAGGAGGCACCTCGGAGCGCCAAAATGCCTGAAGACTCCCCAGGAACGCGAGCGGAAGCGCCCCGCCGGCGCCCGCAGCGCCCACGCCCGCCACTCGGCTCGGCTCGCGCCACGCGTGCTCGCCCTGCAGCGGGGGGCGACGGCCCGTGCCCCCAACCCGGGCCAGGGGTTTAAAGCGCGGGGAGGGGAGACTTAGCAGTTGATGACCCCGAATTCTCTAACTAGTCCCCGAAAAGTTAAAAGCTCCTGAACTAGCGCCACCTCCCGTCCCCCCTCGTCGCATTTTAAAAGGCCCTTGCGGTCAGTGAGGTGTTCGTTTCCTTCTCGCTAGCTCTTCAGGACGAAATTCTGCCCCAACTGGGTGCCACCTCTGGTGGAAGCTGCTGCTCCGGATTGCTGTCCGGGCTCCAAGAAGCAGGAGGGGGGCGTCCAGCCTCTGCGCCCCAAGCAAACTCGAGCCCTCGCTCCAGGGGAGAGGGAGGGCAAGGGGGTGGGGGGGATGGCGCAGGGCGGAGGCTCAGAGCTCAGCTCGCCTAGGTCCCCTAGTGCCTTGTGCCTGCCCAAGACAACTAGGACCGAGTGGGCCAGACTGTTGGGGGGGGAGGGGTCGGCAGGACTTGAGACTGTTGGCGGTGGAGGGGGGACCCGCCCGAGGGCGTCACTTGGGTGTGTCCAGGGTGTGCACAGGGGAGTCCTACAGTTTCAAAGACCTGGCGGAGGTGGGGCTGCCGACACTCAGCCAGGTCACTCGCTAGTCTCACCAGAGGCGGGAGCGGGCCTGCGCCTGGGCGCCCACTGCGCTCCCCGAGGCCGCGGGCTCCGGGCTTGCGCGGGTGGGGTCGCCCAGGGGAGCCGGGACCCTGCGTGCGACAGGAGGCCTCTGCAGCCGCGCCACCGCGCTGGGAAACAAGAAGCGAGCGCTTTGCTCCCTATCTTCCCAGTGTCCGTCCTATATTGTTTTCTGCTCTTAAAACTGACATGTCTAATTGGCAATTGGTGCCGAATCGTGTCCAGAGGTCTCTTGTGGAACATTTCTACAGCTGTCTCCTTCAACTAGACGCTTATTCATGTCGCCTTAATGAGAAACAAAACGTTCTCTAATGAGCAATTACAGAGCGACAGGATTGTTCCCATAACAAATTCTTGCGAGTGACAGAAGCATCCTTTGTACCAGATATTTCGCATACTGTTACCGATTTTCCCTTCTCCGGCCCGGCTCCGTGCAGGCGCCGGGCACCCAGGCTGGTCCCAGAGTGCACGGACCCGCGAGTAGCTCCGTCGCCATTCCTGGGCTGCCACCCCCGGCCCAGAGCCCCTAGGCTCCGGTGTGCTCCCGGGAGTGAGACGCCACGTCCCATTATCCCGCATATTATCTCCTTGTCACGAGGACAACAAATACCGATTAATCTTCCTAGTAAACTGTTTCCTATTCTTGACCAAGCTATCTCGGTGGAGGGGTGGGGGTGGGGAGCAACCCCACCTACCCACGCACCACCCGCTCATCTTCCTCCATCACTTCTTACAGATCACAGCGACTCTCCTGGAAGTCCCTGAGCCGATCCTGGCACCCTGCAGTTGGACTCACGGTATCCTCACCCCTGCACCTCTACGTCACCACCCACAGAGTGAGAACTGGGGGACCCTCCAGCGTCAAAGGAGGAGGGGAACAAGGATGATGGTGTTGCCTTAGTTGGGAAACCACCACTTCCAATGCCCCATCCTCCACTTGGCCCTGCTTGGGGCTGCTCGCCCTCTCCCATGCAACCTACTCATAGTCACATAATTTGTCAATTACAGCAAAAAGTAAAATGATACAATTATGTTTACTTCGCAGTCTGTCAGTGTGTTAACTTGTCACACTTCTACAGCAAGGGGGCTCTCCCTGCATTTTAATGTCAAATTTGAATAGGGCAACACACAGCTTGCGCTTCCACACCCGTGTACGCCTACCCACAAACACACAAGCCAAGTGCATACACCACCCTTACATTCCCAGTCCAAGACAGTTCAGCAAGCACCAGCTACATACAGTGCGAGTCCATGTGTCCCAGGTCAATGAACGCAGTCAGTCCCCTGCCGTATTCCCCAAGCATAGAAGCTCAGAGGAGGAAAAGGTTGGGGTAAGACAGCAAAAGTAAGAGGCTGTATAGAAGGGGTTGGGAGGATGACTGCTTCAGTTTTACCTTGTGTGGGTTGCCCTGGCACCGAAGTCCCGGGATACCAACCAGGGCGGGTGCCCCAGCTTCCGGTCTGCCCGTTCAACATCCTTAGTTTATCATACATGCCATCTGCGCCCATCTGTTGCTTTTCGCTAGCCAGGTTGCGAAGAACTCTGTTTATTGATGACACCTGCAAATCAAACCAAAATCAAACCAAATGGTAGCGTCTCCTGAAGACACATCACCCCGTCTTAAGTCTCCATCTGAGTCTGCCCACTGCTTTACAGAAGGACCCTCAACACATAAAAATAAAACAGAACTCCCAGCCATGCTGGGATAGTGGGTGGGTTGGCCCGAGATATAGTGGAGAGAATGACAGCCATCACTTTGGGTCTGGAATTTGAATTGGGTAGAGAACTGGGAGCCTGGAGGGAAGGGTCCTTCATCATTGCTTGGTATTTCTGGTAACTTAACTCACACGGTTGCTTTGTTAAAAGACTGTCCCCCAAAGAGATTCAGACTCAGAGTAGACCTTTCATTTCACTTGCTTTACATTAAGGTAAAAATGAATGTGTGATGCCAGAAGGAAGGTTCAGGCAAATGAACCTTTGGAGCAAGTCAGAATCTGGTTTTCATTCTCCTGCTTGATTCCAAGGCCTTTTCCCAGTGCTTCCACCCTCTGGTTTGCAGCATGCAAATGAGATGAACAGCTCCCCACAGTTGACTCCCATTTCCCAGGTGGTCCAAAAAAAAGGTCAGGGCACTCCTCTCAACATCCCCAGGTACAGAGGAGACAGAAATGAAGTGAGCGAGCGACACTAGGGGAGGGAGGTGGGGGGAGGCCCGAGGAAAGAGGCAGAGAGAGAAGCGGTAGAGAGGAGGGAGCATGGAGATGGGGGAGGGAGCACGAAGGTCCTCAGTGAACTTACACTTGGTATGTTATCGTTGGTACAGACCCCCTCGGACAGTAATCTGTCTCGGATTTCCCAAGCAAAGATGGACGGGCACTCCCGCTTATACTGGGCTATTTTGCTTACAACTTCTGGAGTCGCTACTCTTGGTTTACTACCACCGATTGCCCTGGGTCTGATGGAGCCAGTCTCGTAATACCTGCCCAGAATTTTACTCACACATCCGTTGGACACCTGCATAGGGGAAGTGGACAGAAAACCACATTATTAATAATTTCAAGACAAAAATAAAATTGTTTAAGTATGCATTAAACAATGACAAGCTTACGTTTTGATTGTCCAGCACTTGGACTTTTGCATCTGCATGGGTCTATAACACAAAAATATACCTTCAATGGTACGAGAACTTACTGCAGAGAGCTTTTTTCTTAAAATTACATTTGTAGCCCTAACAACTACAAATATGATACTTTCAAACAATTTGAACTAAAAAATGGAATTTTAAAGTTTTCTTTAAAAAAAAAAAACTGTTTTCTTAGACACTGCCTAAAGATGCATCAAAACGAAGTCAGATTAGCTTTTTTTTTTTTGGCTGACTTTGCTTCAAGTGATGTTATCTTTTAAAGAGCAAAGAGGAAACTGAATTTTTATTTCTTTTTCCTTAAAAAAATATGCCCAGTTGAGCAAATGCAAGTTAGGGAGGGGTTAATGGCATTTGTCTCTTAAAATCTATCTCTCTACATATATTCTTCATTCTTCATAAATATGAAGAGTACAAATAAGATCTCAACATCCGAGGTAAGCACGGGATGGGGAAGAGGAAATGAAATTATGTCGGCTTCTATCACTCAGCTCATTCCAATTCGCAAAGGTTACCACAATGAATGTTTTTACCAAATGAAAAGGTTTCTTTTTAATCACACATATGTCTTTTCCCCCCCTTTCAGCAGATGAATTCTCTTATGTAACTGAGCCAGGTTGGAAGAGAAGGGAAGGATGGCAGAAGGAGAGGGGAAAGTGGAAAGGCAAGGGAGTGAGGACGGGGACAGGGGTGGGCGAGGGTGAGGGGTCCATAATTAGCAGCGTTTGCAGTAAGAAATGAAGAGCGGAGGGCCGCGGGGGCGGCGAGTGGGGAGGCGGCGGGAGGATCACCTGCAGAATTCGGGAGATGTCGCACGGCCGGGCCCCGCTGTGAGCTAGCTCTACGATCTTCTGCCGGGTGGAGTCCGGCAGCGGCCGCCCGTTGACAAAGACACCACCGAGCTGATTCACTCCGCTGTGACCTGAGGAAGGGGAGAGCAGAGCAGAGCAGAGAGAAGAAAGTGGAGGTAGAGGTGCAAGAAGTGGAGGAGGAGGAGGAAGAACAGAAGGAGAAGGAAAAAGAGGAGAAGAAACAACCACAATGCATCCTCAGCGCCCTGCCAGCCCGTGCCAACCTCTGGCGAACAGGTCCTTGCTATCGATCAAAAGCCGACAACAGGACCACCAGCCAGCCATGCAGGGCATCGGGCAGCCCAGCCCCAAACACAGTCATGCTCCAGCCGGGCGGACTGCTGAAGCAGCAGACTCAGACACAAGCCAAGGATGGAGAACGCAGGTGCCCCTCTGCTGCCATCTCCCCGCAGCGCCCAGCCCAGGGTCTCCCCTCATAGGCTCTCCAGCCAGACCCTGAGCCCACGAGAAGCAAACAACTGACCCAGAAAAGTCTCCCCAAGACCTCCCCTCTGCAACCAAAACCCGTGGGTTCCACGGAACCCACACTGAGCCTCCAAGGTCTCTGCAGCGTTGGAACAAGAACAGCAAATCCTACAGCCGCTCCGTGCCTCCCTGGACACTTAAGTCCAGAAACGTCGCCGTCGCGATCTAAACTCTGGCAAAGGCACAGCACGAACACCGGGTTTGGTTCGGTTTTGTTTAATAGAAGGGAAATGGTCAGAAGTAGGGAAGAACCAGAGCGACCGATATGTGGCCGAGGAACCCCAGTGTGGGTTTTCCGCGCCTCCACCTATGGGCTGAGGGTCAGCACCGCTTCTCGGCTCCTACCCCAGAGCAGCCGGGCCTCGCGAGTGGGGCTCGGAGCCGTCACTGCTCGCCTGACTTCCGCCGCTGAACTCCGCCCTCCCCACAGCCAGGGACAGACATTAGAGAAAAAAAAAATCCAGAAACAGAAAAGGAAAAGGCCATCCGCCCTTCATCTGTGCATCTCACCGTCTCAACCCCCAAGTGCAGCCTCACAGAGCAAGCAGAAGGAGTCAGCACCCCGCGTGAGCCCCCTCCCCAGAAACCGCCGACACACAAACAACGCCAACCCCCGACTTTCACTTCCTTAAAAATCTCCAACCTGCAGCCCCGACTCTAGAGAGCAGCCTTCCCAGGAGAAGACGTGGCTCCCTGCTCGCTCTCCTCTCTCCTCTCTCCTCCTTGGAGCCTGCTGATAAATTGACTCCAGGAGCCTGAGCTTCTTAGCAATAAATAAGCTCCAAATATAGAAGAGGGGGGAAAATATGATGAGCCTCTCTGACATTTGTCTTTAAAATAAAACTAGCTGCACGTCAAGTTTGAGCTTAATTTCTGGAAATAGGCGGAAGTCGCTCCGGATCATGCATGGAAGGCTAATTGAAAAGATCAGTCGGGGCGCTTGTGGCAGCCTTGTCACTTTGTGACAGTGCTCCGCTCCGGGAAATTGCATCGTCACGACAAACGGGACCGTGATAAAACGACCCTTTCCGTCCCTATTTGTAGATCACTCAGACGAGATTGAACTGCACTAGTTTCCCCTTCGAGGGGAGCCGCGTTTTCAGGGTAGCCCAGGGCTTGGGGCTGAGGTGGTTGAGGGGGAGGTTGCTCACCAAGGGGGGGGCTGGAGCCTCAACTCGATGAGAAGTGACAGGCGTCTGGGGGATCTGGGCTCCGGCCGGGCCCAGCGCAGGCGGGGACGCTGCGGGGACACTGCTTCTCCTACACAGCCAGGCCTAGCCGTGCTTCCGGTTTCTCCCAAATTCCCTTTATTGCTTTCCCGTGCCTCCCAAGTCTGTTCCACCGCTGCGCCTCACTGAGCCCCGCGTCTGTGCCAAGGGGGCCTTGGGGGGGGCGGGAAGCAAGGCTGTCCGGAAGAGGCAGAGAAGAGACTTTCCAAAGTTCAAGTACTGGCCGGAGCATGCTAGCCCTCACCCCTTGTCAGCTCACCGCAAACACCACCAAAAAAGAAAAAAAAAAAAAAGACCAAAAAAAAAAAAAAAAGGCATGCTACCTCCGCAGCTACGGCCCGCGGGTGCTCGCCCAGGATTCGCCGGGGCCAGGGCGCCTCTGCCAGCATCGAAATGGCAGCGAGGAAGCGCAACTCTAAATTCCCCTTCAGAGGTTAAGCCTCAATCATTGTGTCCCTTCCCTAGGGACGGCTGGCGCTCTCGCCCAGTGGCGATGATTATGCGCCTCGAATTCGACCGCGAAGCATCTAATAGGAAAACATATGGTGTCAATTTGGATGCTCCGCGCCTCGCGCACACCCGGGAACGAGCGGCACAAAGCCCCGCGGGCCGGCCCGCGACCCCGCGCCCCTCGGGGCCCGCCAGCCAGGCCGCGGGGGCAATCGCTCAGCGCTGCGTGCGCCGGCGGGGTCCACCCGGGGACCTGCGGGCTGAGGAGCTTCAACTCCAGGGGCAGGGAAGCCAGCCGCACGTTGGGGTGGCCAAAGGCATTCGCCTCGCCAAGGTGGGTGCCTCCCGGGTCAGGCCTCCGAGTGTGGCAGGTTCTGCGCAAATCTGCCGTGTCGCTTGCCGCCCCTGTGCCCATTCTGAGCCTCCTGTTCCACCAGCCCCAGCAGCACCAGGGGGCGACCGGCGCCTCCGGAACACATGGGCTGGGCGCCGAGGACCCTTCGGAGCCCTCGCGGTTCGGCAAGAGCAGGTTGCTGGAAGATCTAGGCCCTTCCACGCTTCGAGCCCTTAAGCCGCGTACAGATTGCGGTGAACCCCTGCCCGCCCTGGTTTCATTCGGCCTCTAGGCTGTAGCTCTGGTCTAGCCCTGCCGTACGAAGGCACCTAGCACCTGGGCACGAGGGCGGGTGGGGGCCCACAGGACCTGGGCAGAGCAAAGAAGGGAGGCACAAGAGCCCTGGCACAAGAACCGAGCACTACAGGCCCGCGACAACCCGGCCCGGGCAGTTGCAGCTGTTGCAACGTCTGGGCGCAGCCTTCACCCTCTCCGCAGACCTTGCTCTCTCCTGCAGCCGGGAGCAGCTCCCACAGCGCCGCTCACCGCCCCCACCCCGCTGCGGGCGGGCTGGGGTGCTCCGCGCCCTTTCCCTTCTAGGCCCGTAGTTGGGGTGGGGAGGGGAGGAGCTGCCTGCCCTGAGAGTGACTGGGGGAGGGAAGCCCCCTACCCCCCCCCCCCCCCCCCCCCCGGTCGGAGCATTCAGCCTCTGCTAAGCCCAAAGGGGCCTCCTTCTCCCCAGTGCAACCAGGAGACGCCTTCGCCCCGCCCTGCTCAGCCCAGCCCCTCTCCCCGGGGTCAGAGCCCGGGCAGGGGCGGGGAGGGGGGTGTGAGTTACAGGATTTGGGGGGGATGGGGTTTCTCTACCGCAGCTTCAAAAACTCGGGCGGGCTGTGCTGGAGGGCGCAGCCCCTGCTCCTCCAGGATCGGGAACCGCAAAGCAAACGCCCTCCGTTCGCCGGCTGCTGGATGCCGAGTGGGCCGCAGTCACTGCAGATCACCGGCCTTTTACCCCTGCCAGGCGACCTGGCCAGCGCGGCCACTGCCAGCCCCTGTGCCCTACCCCAACCCGCAGCACCACGCGTCCCCAGCCCCAGGCCCGAGAAAACGAGAGGCACTTACTGTTCTGCATGCTGGCGTTGGCTGGGGGCCGCAGGATCCCACGGGGCTCGAATTTGGGGGCTCTGTTAGCAAGAAAATTGGAGTTAATCCCGGGCCGCTGCACCAGGTAGGCCTGGACTCCCAACAGGGCAGGGCCTGGGGCCAGGACAGAACACTCCTTTAGGAACTGATCCCTGGAGCAGCTTGGGGGCGATTGGAGGGTCACTCGGCTCTGCCCTCCAGTGCTTGCGAAAGCTAACTTTGGGGCTTCAAATAAAACACTCTAACATTCTCAATCTGTTTCCCCTAAATCCTTTAGTAGTTAACCCTTTAATCAGAGAAATGATGACCCAATTTTGAATTTGTTTTCTTCCATCTGAACCATAATGAAGAAGCATTATGAGTTGGACTGCTTCAGGTTTTGAAGCCCAAAGCAGTCTCGGAAAAACTTGCCTGATATCAAGGATGTCTGTCCACTCTTGCAATAAAAGGCCTCACACATCTGCACGCCCCTAGTTAAAGTCTTCCCCCTAAGACAAAACAGAGGGAGAGAAGGGTAGGTTACAGCAGTTCCAACGCGGAGGTGCGGGGAATCTCGAACCCCACCCTCCGGGAAGAGCCGGCGCCAAGGACTCAGGGAACTGCCAGGACACACTCAGCCCCAGCCTCACACCTTCAATTCCAGCAGCCTCTCCCACACAAGTCCCCACCTTTTTGGAAAAGGGTGCTCTGTCCTGGATTGGGGGAGATGGAGAATCCGAGAAGCTGGGGGTCCCCCTTGGCCAAAAATATAAAGAACCAAGAGAAGAGGAAGGGGAAAACAGAGGAAGCAGTGAAGGCCAGGAACTTGGGGGGTGGGGTGGAGGTGGAGAGCATGATTCCTGAAGTTTGGAGGTGCAGGGAAAGGGACCTCGGTGGACCTCGCAGTGCCTGAGGGTACAAGCTGGAGCATTCTGGGAGGGCTGCAGGGCCACACTCCCCTCTTCCTTGTGGAATTTCAGCACCCCAGCTCCCCTCAACCCAACTCTCTGGTTATTCTTTTTCCTTTGCCCCCCACCCCCACCCAAACACACAGAAGCTCCCCAGCCAGACCCCTCTCCATCTGGCTCCTGGCCCCTCGGGGACTTTGAAAAGTGGCAAGCCCAACTTTTTCCCCTAAACCTCACTTACTGTGATTAACTTCTCTTTTGGCATTTAGATCTTCCCCCCTTTTACTGTACTGTGACACACGCTGTCTACCTCGCCTCACTGCTCTAAAAAGTACGAACAGGAGGGGGTGAGCGTGGCCGACAAAGCCGACAGACAGCGAACAATGGCTTCTATTCTCTGGCTCTCCCGAACCCAAAGAGCAAAACCGAGTCTCCCTAACCAGCAACACAGCTTCCAACCGAACGCACCAACAACTCCCCAGCTCACAAAGGGAAAAGCCTCCCACTTCATAAGTCCTGACCCTGTGCAGCTTCCCCAAGGCTCTCCCTCCACCACTCCTTCCCCACCTTTCCTTAACAAGGGGTGGGGGGAAGTGGGGGAATGGAGAAAATAGAAAAGTAATTTCTTGTTATAAATATCTGGAGGTAATTGTGTTACTGGTGTGAGTTGTTAGGGGCTGTAAAAAGATACAACGGCACCGTGGGGAGCTCAATTGGGAAGAGAGAGTTACAATAAAGAGCCCATTCAAGAGGATTGCCCAAAAAGAGACAGAGACAGAGAAATAAAATAATGAAACAATCACAGAATCATTTCTCCCTGTTTTTTAATTGCACGTTTTCTGTTTTGCTTACGATGGTTATTAGTTTTTGCCTGCCTACCTGCCTGCCAACAATGGATTTCAAGAAATACATTTTTCTTTTCAGAGCCATTCGTGGTCTAATTTTTAACTAGCTGGGAGGTAGCTTCAATTCATAAAAATAAACCTAAGAGGAGGAGGACTCTTCAGCATCCGAATGTGGCCTGCAAATATTGGCCACAGCAGAGAGCTACCAAGTTACCCCTGGCTGGGTGGGCTCTGCAATGCCTCCCTTCTGTCTCTCAGACCCCACATCCATAGCCATGCCCTGGGTGGGCAGAAACCCCAACTCCAACTCAGAAAGTCCCTTTCCAATGTGGAACTGACTCTGAAGCTGCAAAGCAGAAGCAGGTGTAGGCGAGAGGGAGTTGAATTCCCCTAGCATGGGTAAAACTTCCTGAACTCCTCTCCCGAGCACACACCATGCACCATCACAATCAAATGTTCCCGTCCTGGCTGGTACCTTCTTGATGCCATTTTTAAAAATTCTCTAGTTGATCCCAGGAAGGCTAAGCTAATTAAGCAACTGGGAAGGTGGTAGCATTTCAAGTTCCTGGTTCTGCTCCATTCCTAACCACCACCACCACCACCACCACCACCACCACCACTACCACCACTACCAACCCCCCCCCCCGCCCGCCCTACTAAGACGCTATCTAATTACTTAAGTAATCATTAACACTTAGTGTAAAAGCAACCAGGGAAGCAGGGCACACTAACTCTCAGAAGCAGTCGGGTGTGCAAAGCATCCAGACCCTGCAACCACTGCTGGAGCCCCGCAGCCCAGCCTGGGGCTTTGTATAGCCTTGGCCAGGTCTTAGACCTACATCCAGGATGAAGAAGTCTCCAAGACATCTTCAAGTCGCTGAGGGTCTGATCCACTAGGCCACTGCCCCCTCCCCGTCCCCATCGCAAGCTCAACTTTCAAATGCTGTCGCTGTTTCAATTGCTTCATTCTCAAAATCCACCCCCAAACTCCTTAGCTGGAGTGCAGTGCTCACTTTCTGTCCTCCTGCCCCCAGCCAGAGAGTAATCAGCAATCAGGCTGATAAAGTTTTACTCTCTAGGGCCAAATAAGATAACAACTCATCACACTGCCTTGGGACGCTTGCACAGGTCACTGGTGGTAAACATAATAAATAAATAAATATTGTAGTGTCAATGGCAACAACTATTATCTCCCCTCAGTAAACTCGCCCAGTTTTCAAGATCTTTGCTTTTTGCTTCCTAGCCCGCTCCCACCCTCTGTTCAAACGTCCTCAAGTTCGAGTTACACCATCCAAAATGGCTTAGAGAGCCTGGGAGCGAAAGAGGGGAAAAAAGAAAGAAAGAAAAGAAACCACGTTCACTTTGTTTTTAAACTTTCGAGAAATCAGTCATGACTGAAGGGCCGGGCTGCAGCACTCGAAAAAGAAAGCGTTTCCACTTGAAATTCAACTCCATTTCCCCCAATTACACTTGCTAAAATTCAGAGCTATTATGGCGCAGGGAGACTAAGAAAATCCGCACAAGGAAAGAGGCAACAACTTTATGAACTTTGAAAAGACACTTTTCCTCCTGGGGTCTTAGAATCGAAAAGCTCTCAAATTACTCAGCCTAATTAGCTGGGAGAGGATGCGATCAGAGGAGGAGAAACCCAAAGCTTTCGTATCGATTTTTTCTAAAACCTCACAAAGGAAAAAAAACCAAAATCAGGACTTAAAAAAAAATACAAAACAAAACCTAAACCACCTTTCCACCGCGAAACTTGTTGAAATGGCAACGCCGGATGCGACTTGATCAGAGCAAGACAAGAAAAAATACCCACCGAGCTAGGGGGGCTGCAGCACGGGGCACGCCCTGGCCTTCGCAGGGCAAGGAAGAGGGGTGGGGGGCGCCTGGGGAGCAGAGTTTCACGTTCCGAGCCGCGCTCCAATAAGTTGGGGGCAATAGCCTGGAGGCTTGATGGAAGCTGGCAGTCCTCGCTCTCGGCTCCCAGCTCCCTCGGCGCGCGCGTCCAACCGCGGTGGCCTGGTGGCTTCCTATCCGGCTTGCACACGCTTGCTCTTTTCTCTCTGCCTCCAGCTTGTGGCTGCCTTGCCGACTGCCTCCGCTCGAGCTGGCGGCGGGCGCTGTGCCCCTCGGCGCTCCGATGCCAGAGGGCTCCTTTGCGCCGGAGCCGAGCGCGGCACAAAGCCGGAGGGCGGGCAGGCGGGCGGCGACGCGGCAAGCCGGCTCTCTCTCTGCGCGCCCCGCTCTCTGCGCGCTCGCTGGGCCCCGGGCTGGACAAAGCAGCCGGCGGCGGCTGCTCTCGGCGACCGTTCCCGGCCTTGGGCACCGCAGAGCCTTTGGGTCCTGTCCCGCCGGCCGGAGCATTTGGCCAAGCCCGGGCCGGGAGACGCGGCTGCTGCGGCGCCTGGAGCCTCAGTTCTTCCTGCGAGCTGAGCCCGCGCTAGCGCTGGCGCTACCGCAGGGGCTGAGCCAGCCGCCCGACCCTAGCCCCGCGCCACTCCGGCTCTCGCTCCGGCTCGCCGGCCGTCGCCCTCCGATGCGGGCTTTCGCTAGAAGTAGAAAGTTTGGGCTCCTGCGTGGAAACTTCCCCGGCCTAACTCTCCCGGCGCAGCAGTGGGGGAGGGGACCAGCGAGAGGGGAGGAAGGAGAGGGGGAGGAAGGGGCAGACCTGCCTGAATCTTGCAATAAAAATAAAGCAAGAAGAAAAAAGCGGACTCACCTTTATGAGGCATCCTCTGTCGTCGCCAAAGCTCCTGTCAAGAGTTTTGTTTGGTTGGGGTTTTTTTTTTTTTTTTGCCTTTTTTTTTTTTTTTTTGGGTGTGCGGCTGTTGTTGCTTAAAGACCACAACGGTTTGAAATGACGGTGTTTTTAAAGGAGTTGCTGCTGAGAGTTTTCTCCACGGACGCTGCTGGGTTGGTGTGTAAGAGCAATTCTCAGATCCCTGGGAAGGAGACAGAGATTGACAATAAAATGGGCTGTCAGCGGCTGGAGAGTGAGAGATAAAGAGTGTGGGTGAGGGAAGTGGCTGTAGCCAGCACACCTATGCTGATTGGTGATGGCTCAAGTGTGTTAATGTGTGTGTGCCGGCGCCCGGCCTCGCCTCCACCGCTCCTCACTGGCCCATTAGCGAAGCCTGACCTCTGTCATCATCCTCCAGCAAAACACTTCCTCCTGCGCCTGAACCAGAGCGGGAAATGAGGCCGAGCCACGGTTCGCTTTTCAAACCCACTAATCACTCCGCAACATGCAAATGCACCGCTCGCTCCCACACAAAATATTGCTTTATGCAAAGCAGCGCCGGGGCCTCGCGCCAGCCGATTGGATGCTCCCTCTCCCCGCCGGGTGCAATTGGTCCGTTTGTTTGAATATGAATACACTTGTTTTCGGCTCCGCCGGTGGGTCCCGGCTCCTCTCCCCGGCGCTGGGCCCCCGCGCCCGGGCTCTGGCGCTCGCGACATCTCCCAGCTCCGCGCGCTCCGGGAGTCAGCACCGCGCGCACGGCGACCGCGAACTTGAGCGGTCGAGCGAAGGCCTCTGGGCTGGAGGGTTAGGAGGGGTGCACTCCCCCATCCTCCCAAGCTGGGTGCGGGACTCCCAGCCCTAGGAGGGAGCAAGTTTCTGCAGCACGGCGCTGTCCTTTCTTGCCAACTCCAGCGCAGCGTGGCCTGCCGCCCCGCCTCCGCCCGCCCTCCCCGCCTCCCCACAGTGGGACGCGGAGCTCAGTGGTGGCCGCACCCTAGCCCACCTGGCCTCTGGGAAGAAGAAAAGGGCGGGAGCGTCCCAGGGTCTTGCAGGCAGAGGCCGTGGCAAAGCCCAGGCCGAGACCTCCGGGAGACCGGTGGCCTCCCCAGCCTAGGCCTCTCGGGCCTGCCCGTTCCCCCACCCTCGCTCCCCTCGGCCCTTTCTTCTATTCCATTCTCCTTTCGGAAGCCGCGGTGCGCAACGGAGCGGAGGCGCAGCCCCGGCTGGAGAGGCCCGAGTAAACACGCCACTTACTTTGTGTACAGAGGGTTCTTGTGAAAAGCCCTGAAGAGTCCTCACCAAACACTCACCAACTTCTCCCACGTGCCATTTGTTGACTAAGTGCGGCCGCTTTTCCAGGCGCCCGAGAGGAGGGGGTGGATCCGAGGGGAGGGGGAGCGTGGGGGTGCGGGGATGACCAACGCCGGGAGAGCGCCTATGTGTGTCCCCGCCGGCGGTGTGGCTCTGCCAGCGTGTGTCAGTGTGTGTGCCACCGGTTATCCGTGCGTAGTGCCCGGGCGTCCGCGCCACGACCTGGGTCAGCCCGGTCCACGCAGGCAGCTCCCCTTCAGCTGCTGCCAGGAAACCGGGGAGCAAAGTAAGTAAATGGCTTTTCTCTTCTGACCACACACCAGAAGTCCATTTGTTGAATGCTGGACGATTACGACACACCTCAGTACACTCCAAAGGCGTCCCTCCGAGTCTGCAGTTTAGGTGACAGGGGAGCCGGCGGCTGCCTTGTCCAGCGCCGTACCGAGCTCTCTCGGATCCGGAAGGCCGGTAGAGCCGGGAATGGGAAGGCCTGAGCTTCGGGACACACCCCAGGACCGGGCAGAGAATGGTGTTGGAAGAGCCGAGGCCAGGAGGCTGGAATTGGAAGCCGCTTGACTCTCCGTGACTAATGGGAAGTGCTGCAAGTCAGCTCACCAACACAGCCTGCTCACCCTCAGCTGACCGCTCGCTGGCCGCCCGCGCCACCGAAGCCCCTGGGAGCCGGGTCGGGGAGCACGCTCTAGGGCTGCCTGGGGCCTCCGGGCCTGCTGTGGGCCGCACACTCTCGCCTGCTCAGGAGCCAGCAACGCCGCGACCAAGGAGCCGGAGCAGAGCTTCCGGGCAACGGAGGCCTCTGCAGCTGGAGCCACAGCTGGGGGTCATCCAGGACCCACTTATCTTTCTCCCTCCCCCTTGCAAGGGAGGGCGATCGGCTGTGCACGTTCACACGGCCCAGGAGCGCTCGGCGCTGGGAGAAAAGCCCGGCCGGAGGCGAAGGAGGTGGCGCCCGGTGCCCGGGTCCACAGCCTCCGGTGCGAGATTTCGTAGGACCGAGACTTTCGGACGATCCCTGGAAATGGGACAGCTGCCCGGGTCCCAGACCAGAAAGAATCTGCGGTTTTTTTCCCCCCTCTCTCTCTTCTCTTTTACTTCCCAAGCAAGCGTTAAAGGAGCTTGAACTCCAGGCCAATGAGCGTGAGCGAGAAGAAGAAAGTCCAGTGCCTCTGTCCGAACTGGAGGCGAATATCATTTTTACAACCTCTCAATTAGCGACCGAGTGGATTAGCACCTTCTTAAGCTTTGCCGCGGAAAGAAGCAGCCATAATCTTGTTGCTATTTCCCCCCAGGGCACCGGCTCTTCAAATCAGCTCCTTCTCCGCACCCCCAACCCCCACCTCTACTCGAAGAAAAGTTTTCACAAAAAATCCGAAGGGGCGCGGAACGCCGAGTGAATGCCACTGACGTCACTGGGTGGGGATGGGGTCTCCGGGGTGGGGTGGGGGTGGGGGGAGGACTCTTGGAAACTCCTGTGCACAAACAAACAAAAAGGACTTGGCTGCTTCCAGTGTGTCAATATTTGGGGGCGGAGGGCTGGACTCAGCCGCGTTGGGAGGCAGAGTTTTCAAAGTTTTCGGAGAGAGCAGTGAGAGCGAAATCTCGCCTCAGAGAGGCTGGGGTGCTGTTCTGTCCCATGGGGCCCTTCAATCCCTCGACCAAGCACCTGCTGTAGGGGGCTACGTAGGCTCCGTGACCTGGTCGGGACAGAGGTGCGGCGCGCCGCGGTCAGAGGTGTGCACACCATTGGGACACCTCTCAGGTCGCCATTTTAATGGCGGCTTCTAACACGGCCGAGGCCCACTAGTCGCGGTCCGAGACGCGCGGAGTGCGTTTTAGGTTTCGCTCTCCTCTTTCCCCTCCTCTCCCCAGGCCTTCCAGCTCCCCCGCCGACCCCTGGTGCCAGGGGATGACTCCCCCCCACCCCCGCCCCCGGCCCGCCGCTGTGCTCCCGCGGAGACCGCCCGAGTCGTCCCACCCGGTGGCTGGAGGTAGTCTGTACCGAAGGGGTCGCGCAGGGGGGTCGCCGCTAGCAGGAGGGCGTCCCCAATCTCTAAGCAGTGTTGATGGACAAGGGGGACACGGGGCAGCACATTGCCCCCACCGGTCCCTGGTTCTCTCCTGCGCCGGCTCCGTCAGATCTGCCGGCCGGTGGCAGCCTCTGGCGAGGCAAAGAAGTGCCCAGCTCTCGGGAGATGTGCTTTCAGCGTTCAGCTTGGGAACCTAGGCTCCCCCACCCCATACCCCGACCTCTCGGAACTGCTGCAGAGGCGCGGTGCTGGCGTGCTGGGAAGACTGGCATTTCTCCGGAGGTGGAAAGTCTCCACAGAACACCTGCATCCCTTCTCAGAGCTGCAAACACTTCTCCTTTTGCAGGCCCTGGGAAGGTGCGTTCCCCGGGTGGCGGAGCTGGCCAACTGTTGTCAAAGGCAAAGGCTCCAGCCGCTGGGTTCCTGGCGCCTCTCTTGTTCGGGGCCTTTTCTCCCTCTCCCCTCTCCAGCAGTCTGCCTGGCTCCGGCTCACGCGGCAGCCTCACCGAGCCCAGAGTTCTCGGAAGCCGAGGAGGGCCGGATGCGGCCCTGCGGCGCCTCCAAGCTGTGGCCACGTTCAGCTGGGAGAACCCCGGTGCCCTCACCCTCCCTCCTCTCCTGCCAAGCGGCTAAAGCGTCAAGGGACTCTGCATCCAGTCCTCTTCCGTTCACATTGGGAAGCAAGTTTCTCTCTCCTCTCCTCACTCCTCAGTCCCCCACCCCTATACTTAAAAAATTGTCTAGCTGGGTCTCCCAGGGACCAGGTTTGGAAGTTGGGATCCCCAGGATTTTACCTCCCATCCCCTACATGCTGTTGTCTAGATAAAACCCACATGTAAGGGACGCAGAGTCAGAGGCACTCTGATTTCTGCAAATACTTGTTTTGCAAGGTTGCTTTCCATTTTGTCACTCTAGGACAATCCCCCATCTCTCCTTTCTCTGTCACCTCCACCCCCAAGAGGCAAGAGTTCAGCTTCAAGAGAAAAGCAGGCGGCCGGCGCCGCGGCTCACTAGGCTAATCCTCCGCCTTGCGGCGCCGGCACACCGGGTTCTAGTCCCGGTCGGGGCACCGGATTCTGTCCCGGTTGCCCCTCTTCCAGGCCAGCCCTCTGCTGTGGCCAGGGAGTGCAGTGGAGGATGGCCCAGGTGCTTGGGCCCTGCACCCCATGGGAGACCAGGAAAAGCACCTGGCTCCTGGCTCCTGCCATCGGATCAGCGCGGTGCGCCGGCCGCAGCGGCCATTGGAGGGTGAACCAACGGCAAAAGGAAGACCTTTCTCTCTGTCTCTCTCTCTCTCACTGTCCACTCTGCCTGTCGCTAGGACAAAAAAAAATAAAAAATAATGGCAGGCAAGGCCACCTCTGTCCTTTTTCTCTGGAGATCTCTCTCTCGGCCGCTGCTTGTTCTAAAGGCCAGGGACAGACTCCTGCAAAGTGTCCCTACGGGTGTGGCTGGGAACACCCGGTTGGAAACTGGGGGGCTTCGCTGGGGGATTTGAGGCTAGGGAGGGGGCGGGAGCAAATGGCATGGCTGGCTC